GAAGCAACCGGAAGGTTTTGTAGAGAAAGGGAAAGGGAAATTTGTTTGCAAATTGAAGAAAAGTTTGTATGGTCTCAAGCAAGCCCCGCGGCAATGGTACAAAAAATTTGACTCTTTCATGATGAATAATGATTTTTCTAAAACCACTTCAGACCATTGTGTGTTTGTGAAAAATTTTTCGAATGGCAAATTTATTATTCTTTTGCTTTATGTTGATGACATGTTAATTGTGGGTTAAGGTTCTACCATGATAAACAGGTTGAAATTGGAGTTAAGCAAGTCTTTTGCTATGAAAGATTTGGGACCGGCAAAGCAAATTCTTGGTATGAAAATTGTTCGTGATCGCAAAGAGGGGCTGATTTGGTTGTCTCAAGAAAGCTACATTGAGAAAGTTCTTGGGAGGTTTAACATGGATAAAGCAAAGTTGGTTGGTTGTCCACTTGTGGGTCACTTCAAACTTAGTTCGAATCAATGTCCTACAAGTGAGAAAGACAAGGAAGAGATGCTGAAAGTTCCTTATGCTTTAACAGTTGGTTCTTTGATATATGCCATGGTTTGTACAAGGCCGGATATTGCTCACGCTGTTGGTGTGGTGAGTCGTTTTCTCTCTAATCCGAGTAAAGAACATTGGGTAGCGGTAAAATAGATTTTAAGGTATCTTCGAGGGACTTCGAAGGTATGTTTGTGTTTTGGGGATGGTAAGCCGATGCTTGATGGGTTCACAGATTCTGACATGGCCGGTGATATTGATTCTCAGAAATCTACTTCGGGGTATTTGATGACTTTTGTAGGGGGAGCTGTGGCATGGCAATCTAAATTATAAAAATGTGTTGCTCTCTCAACTACCGAAGCTGAATTTATTGCTATTACAGAAGCTTGCAAAGAAGAGTTATGGTTGAAGAAATTTTTGCAAGAGTTGGGTTTGAAGCAAGAAAAGTATGTGCTTTATTGTGATAGTCAAAGTACTATTCACTTGAGTAAAAATTCTACTTTTCATTCGAGATCGAAACACATTGATGTGAGATACCATTGGATTCGTGATGTGTTAGATTCGAAATTATTACAACTCGAAAAGGTTCACACAGATGATAATATTTCAGATATGTTGACAAAGACTTTGTCGAGGGACAAACATTTAAAGTGTCGAACTTTGGCGAGTATGGTTGATCTCTCCACCTAAGTCGGTAGGGGGAGAATTGTTGGGTATACCTCCTTATTGAAGTGTGGGACCCAATTGGTTTGTTTAAGAATTTTAATTTGGCTTGGTTTAAGTATAATATATTTTTATATATTATATTTGAGGAGACCCAATCCAATTTGAAAACAATTAAGGTTTAATTACAAAACCCTAGATTCACAATATATATATTGTTTATGTTTTTTGCCCTGTTGGTAGAGAGAAAAAAAAAAAAAAAAACGGACGGCGACAAATTTGTTCCACTTTTTTCAAAAAGTGTTGCGCGGCTGGTTTTGTGGTTTCAGTGATGGTGCTGTGTGATAATTCCAACTTGGTGTTTGGTCAATGATTCTATTGGCTTGTTACTTTGGCATAGATGAAATTTATTAATAACGGCGTGATTGGAAGTTGATTTGGTTCGTTATTTTGGATCTTCTTTCACTCTGATTCTGAAGATTTCGGTTCGTCTATTTGGTGAGATTTTTCCTTTTTATTTATTTGTGATTATTTAGAATTCACCTAAGGGTGGTTTTGTGAGACCATTAGTGTCTTGTTTGTAATCGTCTGAAACTTATTTGGTTGATAGTGGAATCGAATTTCGATCCCGTGAACGTACCTCACATTGAGGGAACCACGTAAAAATTATTGTGTTGCCTTTAATTTAATTTTTCCACATTAATTTTTTATTCTCATTGATTGATTTACTTGTGGGAAATCACATTGATTTTTCTTAACATAATTAACAAAATTTTAAAGTCTTTTTTTAATCAATTTTCCGAGACCAAACCGACGCTGGTGCCGTAAGCCGGCCTGTACTGAGAAAACCCCCTCTCTTCATTGATAATTCTGGGTTGTTATAAGAAATTAGTTAAAAATTGACTTTTTAATTTTCTTTAAAAAAAACATATAAAAAATAAAAAGGATAATGTGACCCAAAATAAATTAAAAATGTATATTGAAATATGAACAACATTTACATACATATATACATATATGCATATAAAACCTAAAAAAAAAAAAAAAAAAAAAAAATTAACATTAAATATATTATCATAGCTAGCCAATCTTGAACTGAGTTTGGCTGTCCCAATTCTTTGATTTTGCTTTAAAAATAATAATAAAAAGTCCAACATTTCTTCATTGATTATTCTAAATTCTGATATTATCACTCTACTTGGCGCGATTTTTCTTCATATTTTACAATAATAATATAATTTTGTCCTATGCTGAAAGAAAGAAAGAAAGAAATCAAACATTTTTATAAGAAGAAATGTACAAACTTTGACGGTTCATAACACGAAATTCCTATATAAAGAACCAACTCATTTCGAAGAGATAGGAGAGAAACTCAATTTTAGAAAATATATAGTCATCCATGGGTGTTCATAACCAACATCCAAGCCATGCCTACAAACAAGCTGAAGTGGTTGTCATCATGGTGCCTTTTCCATGCTATAGCCACCTCAACCAGGTCCTCCAGCTCTCCTGCCTAATCTCTTCCTACAACGTACCGGTTCACTACGCTTGCTCTGCCACCCACGTGCACCAGGCTAAACTCCGCTTCAATGCCAAAAACCGCCTTTCCTATGCCCAAATCCATTTCCATGAGCTCCCTACCCCTCCTTTCCTCTCTCCTCCACCCGACCCCAATTCTAAATTTCCATCACATCTTCTCCCATCTATTGAAGCCTCTTTGCAACTACGTGACCCCATAACTGAATTCTTGCACAAAATCTCCCCCATGGCTAGAAGGGTTATTGTTGTCCACGACGACCTAATGGCTTATGTGGTTCAGGACACCGCAACCATACCAAATACTGAAACCTATAGTTTTAACCCAACTTGCACCTTCTCTTCATTCTTCGACGTATGGCAAATGATGGGAAAGCCTTTCCAGTTAGAAGAACCACAAGAGTTACCATCTCTTGAAGGATGTTACAATTCCGAGTTCCTAAATTTCATTACCCTCCAAATTGATTTTCTGAAATCTACATCTGGAACAATCATCAACTCGTGCAGATCAATTGAAGGTACTTACATTGATTTAGAGGTACAGCTTCACAAAAACAAACAGATCTGGGCAGTTGGGCCATTTAACACCGGAGCAGTAGATGATGGCAAAAACTCAAATAACCAACACAAATGTTTGGAATGGCTTGACAAACAAGACTTAAAATCTGTGTTATATGTTTCGTTTGGAACGACAACTTCATTGACAAATCAACAGATCAAAGAGCTCGCCATTGGGTTGGAACAAAGCGGACAAAAATTCATTTGGGTGCTGCGAGATGCCGATAAAGGGGACATTTTCACAGGTGATGTTAAGAGAGCTGAAGTATTGCCAGAAGGTTATGAAGAGAGACTGAAAGGAGTTGGACTGGTGGTGAGAGATTGGGCACCACAACTTGAAATTTTGGCGCACCAATCTACAGGCGGGTTCATGAGTCACTGTGGATGGAATTCATGCCTGGAGAGCATCACCATGGGAGTGCCGATAGTAGCTTGGCCGATGCACTCGGATCAACCAAAGAATGCATTTCTCGTGACAGACATATTGAAGGTTGGTGTGGTTGTTAAACAATGGGCAGATCTTCAGGAGGGGGTAGTGGCTTCATCAACTATTGCAGAAGCTGTCAAGAAGCTAATGGCATCCAGAGAAGGGGAGGAGATGAGGAAGAGGACGGAGGAATTGGGAGGTGCCACCCGGAAGGCGGTAGAGGAAGGTGGTGTTTCTCGAATGGAATTGGATTCGTTCATTGCTCACATAACTCGGTAGATTCGTTTATTGACTCAGGATGAATTGGCTTTCCTTGCATTGGATTGTAGTCCAGACCTCTGAAATCACAACAAAATCATTTTAGTAATAAATGATAGAAATCATTTAGTAATATATGATCAATAAAAATCATTTTATTGGATTGTATGTGTTTTATTGTGATAGTCAAGTGCAATAATTCTCATTCTTGTGCTCCTTTGTCTGTGTGCAATGGGAATAAGGCTAATTAACCATAAAAAGGTATTTATTAGACTATAAAAATGACAAATTAACTAGTGATCGGACTCACCACCTCACCCAAGCACAATCACTTATTCGAATATATTGGTGTAAGCTATTGTCGGAGTCCACTCGATCCATGTACGGAATATTTTTACGCCATCTAATCAAACAAATCAACATTGCCAACATAGAATAACTTCATTGAATTTATGAAATGATGAGAATAATCAAACATATCAATACAAAATAATAAATGACCAGAATAATCAAACGTATCAATACAAAATAATTTTACAAAATTTATCAAATGACTAGTATAACAAACGGAGTACAAATTGAAAGTAATTAAAATTAAACTTTTTGCAAAGGGATTTAGAGAAAACATATTGTATACTAGCCAAATTATCTCAAATCAATTCATCCGTCACCAATACTTGATTCATTTGATATTTATTCATGAATTTCCAAAAATGACGGATTAAAATTGTAAAGTATAAAATATGTAAGGTTTGATAAAATTTACAACTCTTATCTTTTATAAAATTAATAACATTGACGCTAAATACTCTCAATCTAAAAATTTTGATCACAAAATTGGGAGGGGGGGGGGGGGGTTCACTCTCAATGTAATCATAAGGTACTTGATGAGCTCTATATATTAAAGAATTTTAATTATCGAAACGAGATCCGTGATGAGTCCCACGGACCTAACAGTACATTTTAATCTACTATGTAGATCGGAGAGAAACCTCTTTGTAACGACCCAATCTTGGCAAGGCAAACCCTGCCAAGAGGGTGCACCTCAAACGCTATAGCACCTTTCAATTGCCTAACATATATGAGATGATCTATTCAAAGACAAAAAAATATTATCATGCTACAAGATAGTTCCCAAGCATTTCCTCCCAAAAAAAATATAATACATACTAATCACGAATCCATCAATACATCCAACTTCATAAGCAATATTTACAATCAACCTCCTTCATAAAAAAAAGGGTAAGCTTACATCCTAGAATGACCCTAAGCAAAACCTCAACCACAAGATGCCCACCTGTGATCCTTCAAAAAATTCTAGTCTTCCAAGTTGAGGCGAGCCACACAAAAGTCTATGAATCTGAAAAAAAATTATTTAAAAGAATGAGCTAAAGCCCAATGAGTATACCAATACCATGGAGTTATAAAACTTGCTCCTACCAATAGGGTTCAAAATAAAGATACTAAACATAAGAACTTAATTGGACTTACATTTATACAAAATAAAAATAAAAATAAAAATAAAAATGATGCAGTACAATTTTCATAAAACGTTATCAGGATTTTTCCAAGGAATCTCATAAGGCAGAAAAAAAAACATACATTTGGATAATGAAAGTAAACAAAAATATAACTTTTCAATACATTAAGATTTCCTGTCCATCATACAATCCACTACATAGCCTTAGGGTCGCGTTACCTCGCGACTTAGGTGGTGACGGTACCGTTACCCAAAACATAACCAAAGGAACATAACTCTTGTTATCGTAGCACTTCAATTCTCATTTCAATGTTTCGGTCCCTAGAACCCCTTATGTACAATGACCCTTATGGTCCTTAAAACATTTCGGTCCCCAGGACCCCAAAGCATTTTGGCCCTTGTGGCCCCAAAGGCTATATTCGGTTATATGATCAATAAAATAAATACCCTCAAATAGCGTTTCATTGTCATTCAATCATCATCATCATAAAATTTGAAAGACTTAACTTAAATAAATTCTCATAAAAAAATTAGTGCTTCATTATACAAATGAAATCGTATCTTTATTAAAACTCAACCCTTGGCCTCAATAAATTTATAGATTTTCTTTTTATACATATATCATGATGAAATGTATCATTCACTTCCTTTAATTCAAAAATTATTTTCAAACTTTGTAATAAAGATAGAGGTAAGGTAATTTCCATTGTAAGTATACTCACCTCCAAAAATAGCAAAAGTGTAGATTTGAAATTCTACAAATTAATTTCCAAGAGGTGTAGAGATGCCTTCCTCCAATCCTAACAATTAGTAAATAGGATCTAAAATTAAGGAAAAGTTTTCAATGAAAATTACAATATCTACAAAATTGATCCTAAATAAGACATGCTACGAAATGACAAGCTAAAGAACTCCTCCAACTTCAAGTCACCCAAACAAATTTCTTATCCAATCTCCACAACACCCATCCTTTGTACATTTTTGAGTTATTAACCTTTTTAAATATCCAACCAATTTATATGCACAATACCACCATCAATTTACTACAAAAGTCAAAAATCAACATTTTTTTATAAACTCAACAACTTAAGTAAAATCTCTTCAATCACTTATAAAATTCCTCCATAGAACATAGAGATACCCAATCCATCATTTATCAACTCAATTTCAACATATAAATTCCCTAACACCAAAATCCCCAATTTTTACATCACATTCAAACCCTAGATTAACCCAAAATCTTAATCTCCAAATCAACCATCAAATTGACCATTTTTTTTTTAACATCTAAAACATTCATGGAAACTAATTGAGAGTATAAAATTCAACAATCAAACCCCAAATCATAATAGATCTACAACACAAAAATTTCATCATCTCTAACTCAAAATATGTAAAACCTTAAACTAAACTTTTAGAGAAAAATTCTTACCAATTACAAGCCTCTAATCCATCAAGAAAATAAATCCCATGCTTTGATTCTTCAAAAGATTACGAAAAATCTAGAGTTGGTGCGTCTATTGTGTTATTTTCAGATGGATTTAAGGAGTGGCCGACCGGACCCTTTTTCCGGTGAGATAAGGTGGTCGGAGGTGGTGGAGATGGTGGGTTAAGGTGGTGGTGTAAGGGTGGAGCAAAGGTGTGGTGTTTGGCCTCCAAGAAAGTAAAGGAAAATGAGAGAGAAAGTAGAGAGAAGTTAGAGAACGAAGAATGAAGAAAAAAAAATCTGCACTTCTATTTTTTTTTTTGTGTTGAAATGGGGTGTTTGGTCACACCTACCATCAAGTTTGGAGTTGGGTTTAGATATCCTAAATGGAGTTTAACATAAGAGTGTGTTTGGCTCTAGATGAAAAGTTGGGAATATTATAATTCTACCCCCCTAAAGGAAAATTTCGTCCACGAAATTTATTCGTTTGTTTAGTCTAGTTCATACCTTGAAAAAGATGTGGATATCGAATTTTCATATCATCCTCCCGCTCCCAAGTAACTTCCTCCAAAGCATGATTTTTCCACAATACCTTTACTAGTGGTATGGTCTTGGAACGTAGTACTTGATCCTTCATGTCCACAATCTCTATGGCTTCCTCCTCATAAGACAAATCATCCTTGAGTTAGATTGGTTGGAAGTCTAACACGTGTGATGGGTCAGGCATGTACTTCTTCAACGTAGATACATGAAACACATTGTGAATGCAAGATAGACTAGGTGGTAAGGCCAAACGATAAGCAATCTTGCCAATGCGCTCTAGTATCTCAAATGGCCCAATATACCTTGGATTTAGTTTGCCTTTCTTACCAAATCGCATCACTCCCTTCCATGGCGAGATTCGTAAAAATACATGATCTTCTACTTGAAATTCCAAATTCCTCCTCCGATTATCTGCATAGCTCTTTTGTCTACTTTGAGCCACCTTCAACCTTTCTCGAATAATATGCACTTATTGGTAGTAATTTGAACAATCTCTGGCCCTAACAATTTTCTCTCTCCAACCTCATCCCAACATACTGGAGTTCTACATCTTCGCCCATATAAAGCGTCATAGGGAGACATCCCAATACTTGATTGATAACTTTTATTATATGCAAATTCTATTAAGGTCAAGTGTTCATCCCAACTACCTCGAAAATCTAGGACACAAGCTCTCAACATGTCTTCTAAAGTTTGAATTGTCCTCTCGGATTGCCCGTTGGTTTGGGGGTGAAAAGCTGTACTGAATCTCAATTTAGTACCCAAGGCATTTTGAAGACTAGGCCAAAAGTGGGATGTGAAGCGCGAGTCTCTGTCTGAAACAATAGATACCGGCACACCATGCAATCTCACAATTTCATCCACATAAATTTTTGCTAATCGATCAAGTGAAAAGTTTTTCTTAGTAGCCAAAAAGTGTGCAGATTTGGTCAACCTATCTACAACAACCCAAATAGAGTCATGCCCCTTCTGTGTGCGAGGTAGGCCCGAAACAAAATCCATGGCAATATGCTCCCATTTCCATTCAGGTATATGAAGAGGTTGAAGTAAACCAGCTGGGCGTTGATGCTCTGTTTTAATCTGCTGACATACCAAACACCTTGACACAAATTCTGCTATCTCTCTATTCATATTTGGCCACCAATAACTTTCTCTTAAATTTCGATACATCTTTGTACTCCCCGGATGCATTGCATAAGGTGAATTATGGGCCTCATCTAATATCTCCCTTTTTATCTCGCGCTCATTTGGAACACATAACCGATTTTTAAACATCAACACACCATCTTCTTTAATAATAAAGTCTGACAGAGTACCATCTTTCACGCGAGCTCGGGTCTTCTCCAAAATTGAGTCTTTCCCTTGGGCTTCTCGAATGCGATCCACTAACAAAGGTCTCACTTTAATTGTAGCTAACAAGGATCCCGACTTCCCAACTGCTAGATCAACTCCAATAGATTTTATTTCATGTAAGAGACTAAATTGAATGCCCTGAATGTGAGTTAATTTCCCTGTAGATTTTCAGCTAAGAGCATCGGCCACCAAATTAGCTTTTCCTGGGTGATAATTAATGGTGCAGTCATAGTCCTTAATCAGTTCAACCCATCTCCTTTGCCTCAAATTTAAATCCCTCTGTGTGAATAAATATTTCAAACTCTTATGATCAGTATATATCTCACATTTTTCCCCGTATAAATAATGTCTCCACAACTTTAAAGCAAAAACAACCGCTGCGAGCTCTAAATCATGGGTGGGATAATTGCGTTCATGGTTCTTCAATTGTCTAAATGCATAGGCCACTACCTTTCCATGTTGCATCAACACACAACCGAGCCCTTGATGAGAGGCATCACTATAAACAATAAATCCTTCACCACTTAACGGAATAGTAAGCACTAGGGCAGAAGTTAATCGCTTCTTTAATTCTTGAAAACTCTTTTCACAATTCTCCGTCCACTCAAATTTGGTATTCTTACAGGTCAAATGTGTTAATGGTGCCGCAATCAATGAAAACCCCTCTACAAATCTATGGTAGTAGCCTGCCAACCCTAAAAAGCTCCTCACCTCGGTCACGTTAGTAAGACGATCCCAATTCACCACAACCTCTATTTTCTTCGGATCCACAAAAATACCTTCACCCGAAATCACATGCCCCAAAAATACGACACGATCTAACCAAAACTCACATTTGCTAAACTTCGCATACAACTTCTTTTCTCGTAAGGTCTGCAATACCACCCGCAAGTGTTGTTGATGATCCTTTTGACTCCTGGAATAAACAAGTATGTCATCAATAAATACAATCACAAATTGGTCAAGGTATGGTTGGAACACTCTATTCATAAGGTCCATAAATGCGGCGGGGGCATTAGTTAGACCAAAAGACATAACAAGAAATTCATAATGGCCGTAGCGAGTTCGAAAAGCAGTTTTCGCTATGTCTTCTTCCTTAATCTTAAGTTGGTGATACCCTGATCTGAGATCGATTTTGGAGAACACACATGCTCCCTGAAGTTGATCAAACAAATCATCTATACGAGGCAGAGGATACTTATTACGCGCCATGACCTTATTCAACTGCCGATAGTCAATGCACAATCTCATGGTGCCATCTTTTTTCTTCACAAATAACACAAGTGATCCCCAAGGCGAGACACTTGGCCTAATAAAGCCTTTATCCAATAACTCTTGCAATTGTATCTTAAGCTCCTTAAGTTCTATTGGGGCCATACGGTAAGGTGCACTAGAAATTGGGGCAGTTCCAGGAATTAAGTCAATAGCAAACTCAATTTCTCGATCTGGGGGTAATCCAGGTAGTTCATCAGGAAAAACATCTATGAAGTCACACACAATTGGTATGTCCTCCAATCTTAGACCACTAAATTCGGAGTCAATCACATAGGCTAAGTATCCTTGGCACCCCTTCTTAAGCATTTTTCTAGCGGTAATAGAAGAAATAACATAAGATGGGAACGCACATCGATCTCCACAAAATCTAAATTCAGGTTCCCCAAAATTGGAAAATACTACCTTTTTCCTATAACAATCCACCGAAGCATGGTAAGAAGCCAACCAATCCATTCCCAAAATCAAATCAAAATCAAGCATCTCTAAAGGCAACAAATCCGCTACCATGTCCCTATCTCCCAACTGTAATACACAACCTCGATACCTCCTCAATTATAACACAATCCCCAATAGGAGTAGTAATGGATAAGCAATAGCCTAGAGGTTCAATAGGTTTATCGGCATGCAAAGAAAATGATAGAGATACAAAAGAATGTGTAGAACCCAGATCAGTAAGTACATGTGCCTCCCTACTGAACACATAAATAATACCTATTACCACCTCTGGATTAGCCTGAGCATCCCGTTGAGTCAAAGGAAAAACTCTCCCCTGCGAGGTTTGTCTATTGGATTGAACACCTCCTTTATTCTGCTTGCCAAACCTAGTCCCAACCTGACCTCCTCCTCGGCTTCCCCCTCGGCCGGCACCTGAAATTTTATTACTACCAATTCCAGTACTAGCAGATGAAGCAGTTCGTATGCAATCCCTAGCCAAATGTCCGGGTTGTCCGCAATTGAAGCAAGCTCGTGTATCTCCCAAATTAGTCATTTTAGGAACTGTGCAATCTTTCACCAAATGACCTTTCTGGCCACAACGAAAACACAAGTCGGTACCAGCATGACAAACACCTGTATGTGCCCGGCCACATTGCTTGCAAACAGTTCGAGTAAACTGAGATGATGTCCCACTAGACTGTCCATGACGCTGATTAGAAATGCTTTGGGTTGGGGTGGGATGCTCTCTATTTTTTTGATATGCACTAGAGCTCTTGACTGAACCATAACCATGACCACCTCTCTTTGACGGTCTATTAGATGTGTTCTCATGATGGGATGAACTAAGGTGGCGCTTCTTCTGTTGTTCCGCTAACTTCATTTCAATGACATCTTTCTCAGCTGTTAAGGCTTTATCAACCAAGGTCGAATAGTTAGTTATTCCCAATACTCGGATACGAGATTTGATGTCCAAATCCAACCCATCTGTAAAACGAAGACATTTGACCTCCTCATCATCCACAAACGAAGGGGCAAAACGAGATAAAGAAATGAACTTAGCTTCATATTGAGCTACAGTCAAATCCCCTTGCTCTAGCCGAAGGAACTCTCTTTCTTTTTCATACCGATAGGTAGCTGGAAAGTACTTGTCATTGAAAACCTTAGTGAATTGGTTCCAGGTCAATCCTCCGGTGCCACTTGCCGTAAGTAGGCGTTGCGTGGCCTCCCACCAATATTCAGCCTCCTCCACCAGCATAAAACTAGCAAGTGCAACTCGCTGCTCGTCTGATACTTCCATCACAGAAAATATCTGCTCTACCCTCCTTAACCAGGCCTCTGCCTCCATAGGATTGGGCGATCCAGAAAATGATGGAGCCCCCAACTTCTTGAACCTCTCAATTGCGGTGAGGCGGTTCTCTGTAGGTTGCACAAATGGCCTAGACTGTGCTACATTCTGTTGTTCAAGGATGT